CCGATGTCGTGTTCCAATTATTTCCATTTATTACTAAGATAAAATCGTAACCCAAGTAACGAGGAAGTTTTAATTCCCATTGGAGTAAATAATATTTTTCACTGTATACGCAGTGTAGCAAGATAAATTAGACTCAAGAAATATATATATTTAACTTCTAAATACGGGGTGTGCGATAGACTTACCTCCACGTGGTGCACCCTGGGCAACGTATACTCATACGGCAAAAAAGTCTATTAATCGGCAGTTGACTTCTGACTTTAAACTACCATTACCCCACTCTATGTCATATTCGACCCCTTCCACAGTATTCATCTAGCCTTTTCTCTGCCTTTTGTGTCTGCCTGTCTGTTACATCTGTGAATCGCTCTTCTTTCCCCCTGTCGAATTTTTCTTACTTTAATGTTGCTCCCTTCTGTGAAGCCCGAAGTCAACTAAAGGGCTAATGATAACTATCAAAATGCCTGCCATTTGAAATAAATAAACAAATAAACTTCTAAATACACGTGATTATATGACGCATAGATGGGGAAAGTATGCCTAAAATGCAATTTAACGTAAATCAATCAAATACTAAACTGCTTTTGCACACCTAAAGCTACTTTAACTATATTGGGTTAAAGCGACTTACCTCCACGTGGTGCACCCTGGGCAACGTATACTCATACGGCAAAAAAGCCTACTAATCGGCAGTTGACTTCTCACTTCAAACGACCATCACAACCGCTGTATGTCATATTCGACTACTTCCGCAGTACTCTCTTACATTTTCTCTGCCCTTGTGTCAGTCTGTCTGTCTCTTTTACATCTGTGAACCATTATTCTGCTACCCCCCCCCTCTCGATTTGATGTTCCTCCTCCTCTCTGTGAAACCCGAAGTCAGCTTAAGGGCTAATGATAGCTATCAAAACGCCTACCATTTGAAATAAATTGATTTAAAGCTAGTTTTTACTTAAGAAATCGGAAAATTGAACTGGCCATCGTTAAATTGCGTTTGCAACAACTTTTGCTTCCACTCGCAGGTCTGAATGCAGATTTACTATTAGCTAAAGGCATTTCCATATTCTTATCAGACTCTCTGGATTCTGTTTTGCAAATTCACTTCATGTTGAGCTCCCATTTCCTTATTTCGTGTTTCAAACCTCTCTTTATCAGAGTCCAACATCTGGCAATAAAAATCCACCTGCCATTTCTCCTCTACATGCCATCAAATTTTAACCTAAACGTATTCCTGAAACCTCTACAAAAATTGCACACAAAATGCCTTTTAACATGGCTTATACAGAGATGACGTAGCACTATGTACACAAATTACTTCGCATCACATGTCAGATCGTATGGGTATAATACCTACCCTCGCCTCCCCCTCCCCTCCCTCCGCGAGAGCCCCAAAGCGTCAAATTTTACATAAGGCATAGTGTATTCAAAAAGTGCACTCTGTTCAATATAAAATTAGAGCAATACGAATAATAATGTAAAGAAAGATCTCTTGCTACGCATTAGCAGAAGTTAGAATTACAATAGCAATTTAAAGTAGTAAATCGCTGAATGTTAGGCGATTAGATACTGATTAAAAGACACTGACAGGAGTTGTTGAAATATCTTCTGGAGGTCGGTCTAAGGCTTCCAGGGAGTCCGTAGGGACTTCAGGAATTGTTGAAGCTCTTATAATTGTCCCATGCTTAGTTAACGATGTTGCCTCTGGAATATAGAGTTCTTGACCGAAGGAATCAACACCCCATCTCTCTACAAGAGAAAAAATAGCATCTTAAAATGCTAGAACAATATTTGGTAAACAATTGTTCCTACAACCCCAGTGAG